GTCCCCCTTCTTCTCCTGTTCCTTTCCCTGATCGCCCACGTTTCCCTGATTATGGGTGGTGAGGGGGAGGAGGAGGAGGAGGAAGAGGAGGAGGAGGAGGAGGAGGAGGAGGAGGAGGAGGAGGATGAGGAGGATGAGGACCAGTGTAAGCCCAAGTGTGAGCAACGATATTGCAATTAACCCTCCCTCCAAGTTTCCTCGTCCTCGGCTCCTACACGGCTTCCTCTTCACCGAGGGAACTGCACCGTTGGAAGACAACCGTTGGAACATTTGGAATTGCACCAAAACTCCATCCCTGGGACTTCAACGCTGTGCATCACTTTATTACTGTTGCGTCTTGACGATTCTGAATCGTGCCAGAACACCATTCCTGGGACTTCAACACGCGAATCAACGTGATTGTTGCGCCCTGACATGCCGACATCGTGCCACAACTATCTCTTAAATGCCAGCCATGATACTCCTTGAGACTTTTTGCAAACTCTTAAGACGAATGTGTGCGGCGCCAAGGCGAGAGCCACATTTTGGAAAGGAAGCGCTCTCCATCCGTGAATCTTTTGCAAACCTTTACAACGAGTCTGCGCGGCGCGAAGCGAGAGTATCCTTTGAAAACGGACCGCCCTCCATCCGTGAAACTCTTGCAAATGTTTAAGACGAGTGTGCGCGGCGCTGAGGCGAGAGCCACATTTTGAAAGCGGACCGCCCTCCAGCCGTGAAGCTTTGGCAATTTTCATTTTTTTTTGATCATAAGCGGTGAGGAATTCTCAGGCGAATCACCTGCCCGCCCTTTTGACCAGCCTCTGGGTGCGACAGGGAGGAGTATCCCATAAGGGAGAGGAGTGGAGGAGGAGGAGGAGGATGAGGAGGAGGAGGATGAGGAGGAGGAGGAGGAAGAGGAGGAAGAGGAGGATGGGAGGAGGAGGAGGAGGAGGAGGAGGAGGAGGGAGGAGGAGGAGAGGAGGAGGACGAGGAGGAGGAAGGAGGAGGAGGAGGAGGAGGAGGAGGAGGGAGGAGGAGGAGGAGGAGGAGAGGGAGGAGAGGAGGAGGAGGAGGAGGAGGAGGAGAGGAGGAGGAGGAGGAGGAGTGAGGGAGGAGGAGGAGGAGGAGGAGAGGAGGAGGAGGAGGGAGGAGGAGGAGAGAGGAGGAGGAGGAGGAGGAGGAGGAGGAGGAGGAGGAGGGAGGAGGAGGAGGAGGAGGGGAGGAGGAGGAGGAGGAGGAGGAGGAGGAGGAGGAGGAGGAGGGGTGGGTGAAGGCGGATGACGAGGATCAGGAGGAATCTGATCCTGACACAAATTTCTGAACGTTGTCGAAGGTTTCCAACAAGATTTTCGGTTGTTTGTGGGCGTCGTCAGAGGTTCGTCGTGGAGGCTTTCAGAACTTTCTCAAGTTTCAAGACAGGTATCCTGTGAGGCAAGAGGGAGGAGGATGAGGAGGAGCAGGGAGGAGGCATCCCTGGCTACTTTCTCCTCCTTCCGTCTCTTTCTCCCTCGCTCTCTCCCTCCGCCTCTCCTCTGGGGGTTCCGTGGCCGACGCGGCTGGACGTTGCCTCACATCTTGGGCGAGAGGAGTGCCTGGCAGGGGCCTAGGGACGCTTCTTGAGCGGGTTCCTAGATCTCTCATGGCGAGATCTCGTATCGTACCCAGGCATCTGGCGTCGCGAACAAAATCGAGAGAGTTTTTTCATATTTCTCGGCCCCTCGGGGCCCTTTACCCGGCCCGCGGGGGCGGGTGGCGGGACACCTCGGCCCGGATGGCGGCGAGGAGAGGTGCACAGAAGGCAGGACCTGCGACTGGGGATCTTTCCATTGGAAACGTGGGTGCACGTCTGCCGTCCTGGCAAACATCGGGACGGAGGCTTGTCATAGCTTTCGGCCTCTCGGGGCCCTTGACCAGTCGGAGGTTGATAGACCTCCTACCCTGACGCGTCGATTAAGGAATTGGCCGTTTTCGGCTCGCGAGGGGGCGTCGCGGCCGTTATTTTTGCGGGTCCAGGCCCGTCGGTTTCGGTCCCAGGCCGTTTTCACTAAGGGGAGGTTTGTCCACCGCAGAGCCAGGCCTCGGGGCCGTCGAGAACCGACTCCGGACGAAGAACCGGTCCCAGGGAAGTGGTCGAGAGAGGTCGGGGAGCCGGTGTCCGGACAAAAACGAGGCGCCCGATGTCTGGGTCTGTCTTCCGAGGTGCGAGAGAGCGCGCGTTTCACGGGCGCTTGGCTTGAACGAGTCGCCCCCCACCTCCCAAACACCACGGGGAGGGGGGGGTACACCTCAAGAGTTCCCCCCCCCTTTCCTCGAATCCAGGGGCGGGGGGGGCGAAAACGGAGGACCCCTCCCCTGCGGGAGGGGGGGGGGCTCAAGAAGGAGAGGGGTGGCCCTCCTCTCTGGGGGGCCCCCTCCTTCGGGAGTGATGGTGTCGACGATGACGACGACGACGACGACGGCAACGGCGACGGCGACGGCGACGGCGAAAGACGTGAAGGCGACGGCGACAACGACGACAACGACGACAACGACGAGCCAGTGGATCGGTCGGGCGGGCGGGACATTAAGTGCAACCTTCACTCTGTGTTGGGAGAAGGTCAGGGGACAATATCTTGCAACCGCCAAAGATCCCGATCTGGCGGGCGGAACTTTAAATGAAATATGTACCCAGTGATGGCGCGTCCAAATTGAGCGGGCGGAGCATTCAATGCAACCTGCACTGTGTGTCAAGAAAAGGTCATGGGACAATGTATCACGACCGCGACAAAAGCAGGACGGGCGGGCGGGGCATTCATTGAAACCTGCAGTCTGATAGGGTGTCCAACTTTGGGCGGGCGGGACATCATATGAAGTTTTCTTTGTGTGAAATGAAAAGTTGAAAGAAAATCGCTCAAAACCGCCGAAGACGCCTTTCGGGCGAGCGGGACATTACGTACAGACGTACAGGAATCATTCATCCAGTGATGGGGCATCCAGATCGGGCGGGCTGAACATCAAATGCAACCTTTTCTTGGTGCTAGTCTTAGTCTTAAATGCAACCTTCTCTTAGTGCTGGACAATTGATCACGACCGCCAGAAGCGCAAGACGGGCGGGCGGGACATTACATGAAACCTGTAGTCAGAGATGTGGCGTCCAAGTTGGGTGGGCGGGACATAGTATGCAACCCTCGTTGTATGGAATGGAAAAGTTTAAAGTGAATCGCTCACAACCGCCGTGGAAGCCTTTCCAGCGAGCGGGACGTTACAGGAAACATTCATTCTGTGATGGGGCATCCATATCGGACGGGTGGGACATTTAATGCAACCTTCACTTTGTGTTAAGAAAACGTCATGGGCAAATTGTTCACGACCGGCAAAGCCGCTGGTCGGGCGGGCAAGACATTAAATGAAACTTGTAGTCAGTGATTGGGCGTCCACACTTGGCAGGCGGGACATTCTATGCAACCCTTCCCTGTGTGATATAAACATTTAAGAACAAATCTGTCACAACCGCCCGAGACGCTTTTCGGGCGGGCGGGACATTCAAGTAACCATTCATTCAGTGATGTGGCGTCCATATCGGGCGGGCGGGACATTAAATGCAACCTTCATTCTGTGTTGGGCGAAGGTCACTGGAAAATGTATCGCGACCGCCAAAAACGCTGGACGGGCGGGCGGGACATTAAGCGAAACCCGTCGTCGTCGTCGTCGTCGTCGTCGTCGTCGTCGTCGTCGTCGTCCTCGTTGTCGTCCGCGTCTCCGTCCTCGCACCATCGTCGTGATCTTCGTTTGCGCGCGTACCCGACCCCTGTCGCCATCGTCGTCGCCGTCGTGTGCGCTGGCTGGCCCCTTTCGTCGTCGTCGTCGTCGTCGTCGTCGTCTTCGTCTTCGTCGTCGTCGTCGGCCCTCGGGATTCTAGCGGGAGGGGAAGGACGCCCCCCCCTTCTTGGCCTCCCCCCCGGGATGTCCCCCCGGTTCCAGGCCCCCCTACCCCCATCCCGCGGGGGGGGACCCCTGGTTCTCGGGGGGCCCCTCCCCGGGATGTTCGGAGCCCGTAGCAATTTTAAGGAGCCCCCCCCCTGGGGTACGAACCCTGGGTGGGGGGGAACCTACAAGCCACCGCAGAAAGAACTTTGTCCGAGGCGCGGGGGAATACATTGGACGTCTGCCTTGCTCTGTATCCTTTCTGCTTGCTCGTTCTTGATGGAAAGGGGGTTCCTGGAACACCGTAGTCAGCCCCAATCCTGTTGCAGGCGAAGATCGAGAAGCTGGATGGTGTGCTGAAAGCGCTAGTCGGCAATGCCAAGGAGAAGATGGAGGCAGGAGACATCACCGCGATGACTGAGATTTTCCCTAAACTCCAGGAGCCGCTTGGGAGTTGTTGTTCCGTTCGTCCTCTGGAGCTGATCCACAGATCGAGGCCTGAAGTGCTGCTGGATGGATGGATATGTTGCAAGCTGCCTTTGCGCCACAATGGGCGGACTCTATTGGCCGGTATCTGCTTGTATGATTCATTTCCCTCTTCTGCGAAGCTGGGAAGTTATAGCAAGGACACGTATTTGTCATTCGGAGAGTCTTTTTGATGGCACGTGTTTCCGAAATCGTGTTTTTCAGCGATTTGCTCTGTAATATTCTGCCCCTCGCATGTTGCAGGGAATCAGGGTTTCGCAGTCGTGATGTGTGATTGTCTGCTGTAGGCTTGGCTGGCGCGTTGCGACGTGTGAGTGCATTGAGAACGCCGTAGACGTCCACTCTATGATTAACTTCTGCGTGCACGATACGAGATTTCGTTGCCAGTAGGACAATTTCTCAAATCCAGTCCTCCTCCTTTGTCTATGGCTTGCGCGCGTGCCTGATGCTGCGTTGTGGCTTGTCCAGCCGTCATCGCAGGAGCAGCAGAAGTCCCAGCAGGAGGATCAGAAGATGCTCGCGACGGAGCTCGCTATCGTCAGAAGAGGTGGGATGCCGTGCCAGGCCTCCGCCACAGAGATTCTCGATCAGATCAAGGCCATGAACGGCCTGAACTCTCTGCTCAAGACCACGATGAATCAGCTGCAGGCGAGCTTTCCGCGCCGCTTTCGATCTCGATTCTGGGAGGCTAACTGGGGCCCCGGGGGAGGAGAGGGGAGGGAGGAGAGGGGATGGGGAGGGGGAGGGGGAACGAGGAGAACGAGAAGGGAGGAGAGGGGAGGGGGAGGGAGGCAGAGCTGGAAGGGGAGGGGTCCGTCGGGTTTGCCTCCAGGCTGTCCCTGCTTCCTGTGGCCGAGCTGGCCGCGAGCGAAGGTCTCACCCGAGGGTCGTGTGACGTCTTCCGAAGGGTCGCTTCCTTCTGGACAGTTCGGCCGCACTTCGCCAGACAGAGTCCGACAAGGGCGCCCGCTGCGCAGTTCGAGGGCAAGCTTCTCCCCCACACGCGGTAACCGATGTTGGGATGCGCAGGCGGGCCGAGGTTCGTGGACCCCTGGGCAGGGACGAGCCGCCGATGCCCGCGGCGGCGAGGCCGCTACACCAGTTCGCCTGGGAGCGATACCTCGCTCGGCCCTCGTGTACAGCGGGTGGAGGGAGCTGGTTGCGGTGGACCGGGGCTGCGGTGCCTTTCAGGGGCAACGATAGGGGGGGATGGCTCAGAGGGAATGCATCGACCCCCAGTCGCCCACTGATCGCCCATAGGGGTCTGACAGCCCCATCCCGCCCAGGAACGTGGGGATGTGCTATCGGGGGCCCATCGCCGATCTATCTGCGACGTACCGCTGATTACAGGCCGATGTTCCGCCCCCTGTGCCAGCCCCACCCTCATCCTTTTGCCCCTCGCCGTGCCGTGCCGTGCGACAGTCCCGGGGTTCGGGACGGAGGGAGCACCCGGGGGGCGCTGGGCCCGCTGGGCCAGGCTGCGGCGGGGCGGAGCGGCGGCACCCTGCCGCGCTCCAAGGTGCCTTTGCGCCGCCACGTTCGGGGAGCGCCCAGGGCTCGGGCGGGTGCGGGCTTGCGCTCTGAGTCCACGTGCCGCCTGGGCTGCCCGGGCACTGCGCACGTGTTGTGATCGGCTCATTGGTGCGAGTGCTGAGCACCGCAGGTGCCCGCCCCCCCTCCGATCCATGCTCTGCTCTTCCGGGCTGGCTCCTGGTAGGCCGGCTCGCCTCTCTATACCCCTCTCTTCATCTCTAGATTTTTCTCTTGTCCCCTTTGTGTCGCGCTCTCTCTCTCTCTATATATGTATATTAGCATAGATACATGCATATCGCTGTCTCTGTCTCTGCCTATCATAGGTCTTTACATGTATGTATGTATGAACGCATACGCGCATGCATGTATATGTATAGGTATAGGTATAGGTATAGGTATATGTATAGCTATATGTGTATGTATGTATGCATGCATGCATGCATGTATGTTCTGCATGCATGCATGTCTGGATGTATGCATATTGTTGTGTATGTCATGTATGTATGTATGCATGCATTTATGTATGTATGTATGTATGTATGTATGCATGTATGCATGTATGTATGCATGCATATATGTATGTATGTATGTATGTATGTATGTATGTATGCATGCATGCATGCATGCATGTATGTATGCATGCATGTATGTATGTATGTATGTATGTATGTATGCATGTATGTATGCATGCATACATGTATGTATGTATGTATGTATGTATGCATGCATGTATGTATGTATGTATGTATGTATGTCTGTATATGTGTTTACATCTATGCACATGCATGCATGCATGCACGAATGCATGTATGTATGTATGTATGTGTATGTATGTGCATGTGTATGTGTATGTGTATGTGTATGTGTATGTATGTATGCATGTATAGCTGTATGTACGCATGCATGTATGTATGTATGTATACATGCATGCATGCATGTATGTTCTGCATGCCTGCATGTCTGGATGTATGCATATTGTTGTGTATGTCATGTGTGTATGTATGCATGCATGTATGTATGTATGTATGTATGTATGTATGCATGTATGCATGTATGTATGCATGTATACATGTATATATGTATGTATGTATGTATGTATGTATGTATGCATGCATGCATGCATGTATGTATGCATGCATGTATGTATGTATGTATATATGTATGCATGTATGCATGTATGTATGTATGTATGTATGTATGTATGCATGTATGTGTGTATGTATGCATGCATGCATGTATGTATGTATGTATGTATGTCTGTATATGTGTTTACATCTATGCACATGCATGCATGCATGCACGAATGCATGTATGTATGTATGTGTATGTATGTGCATGTGTATGTGTATGTGTATGTGTATGTGTATGTATGTATGCATGTATAGCTGTATGTACGCATGCATGTATGTAGGTATGTGTGCATGCACGTATGCATGTATGCATGCAGGAATGTTGGTATGCGTATGTATATATGTCTGTCCGTATGTAGGTATGCATGTTTGTATGCTTGTATGCATGTATCCATGCATGCATGTGTGTGTGTGTGTGTGTGTATGGATGCATGCATGACGCATGTGCGTATGCGTGTATGCTTGCATGCATGTATGCGTCAGCATGTATGCATGCATGCTTGTATGTACGCATGCATGCACGCATGCATGCATGCATGAATGTATATGTATGTATGTATGCATGCAGGTATGTATGTATGTATGTATGTATGTATGTATGCATGTAGGTAGGTAGGTAGGTAGGTATGTGTGTCTGTGGGTGTACATGTATGTATGTACATATGTATGTTTGTGTATGTATGTATGCATGTATGTATGTATGTATGTATGTATGTATGTATTCAGGCATGCATGCATGCATGCATGTACGTATGCATAGATTTTCATATATATATATATATATATAGATGCTTGTCTGTAGGTGTATGTATGCATATATGTATGTATACAGGTATGTATGCATGCATGTCTGTCGGTCGGATGGTCTGTCGGTCTGTCTGTCTGTCTGTATGCATGTATGTACCTATGCATGCATGCATGCATGCATGCAGGTATGTATGTATATAGGTAGATAGGCATATATATACATGTATGTATATACTTGTGTATATCTCCCTGCCTGTCTGTGTGTTTGTCTGTCTGTCTGTCTGCCTGCCTGTCTGTCTGTCTGTCTGCCTGTCTGTCGGTCTGTCTGCCTGCCTGTCTGTACGTATGTACGTATGTACGTATGTACGTATGTATGCGTCTATGTATGTATGCATGTATGTATGTACGTACGTACGTACGTACGTACGTATGTATGTATGTATGTATGTATGTATGTATGTAATGCTTGTATGTATGTATGTATATACGTACGTACGTATGTATGTATGTATGTAAGTATGTATGTATGTATGTATGCATGGATGTATGCATGCATGCATCCTGCCCCGCCGCTTCCTCTCCTCCCCCCCTCTCCTTCCCTCCATCCCCCTCTTCCCTCCCCCCTCCCCGCACTACTTGCTCCCTCGGTGCAAGGAGTGCCTTAGAAGCACAGCAGGCCCTGCTACGCGGACGGCCCTCGCACTGCATCGGTTTCACAGCCTGAGACGCACGGCGAGGAGCTGGGGCACTGAGCCGTGCACGAGTGCCAGCCCCTCCCGCTCTTCCTCCCCCCCCTCCCTCCCCTTTGCACACAAGAGAAGGAACGGAGACTGGGCACAAACGTTACAGTGGAAACCCATGCCAAGAAACACCCCGCTTGCCTCCAGGGTGCCCTGAGTTTCCTGGGTTTCGATGGTTTTGCTATGGACAGCGTGACGTTCCCCCACTAACAGCAAATGGGCCTCCTGGGGTCTCAGGGTGGGGTTTATCGTGGAAGGTCTCTGGTGGTCGAGCTCCTACTGGAGCCAACGACGACCCAGACTGGTGGAGGAGCTACAGAGCTTACCTCTGGGAGCAGGGGCACAGGCGGCGATGGACAGACGCGCTCCGAGGGCTTCACGGCCTCACCGCCGCCCTCCTTGCGGAGACGCTCCGCGCGCGCGCACGGAGCGGTGTCGGCGCTCGCCTCGCCTCGCCTCGCCGCGCCCACTCTTCGAGTATGCTTCTGGGCCAGATCCCCTGCCGTTGCACAGAGCTGCGCGCAGGAGCCTGCCGACTTTCTGTTCTGGTCGTCGGAGCAACTCTGGAGGCGTCGGCGCGTCGCCCATGGCGGCCAGTGGATCCCAAGCAGACACTGCAGATGGAAGAAGAAAGTGGTACGCCTCCCGAGCGCCCTGCACCCCGACCCTCTAGACCTGGCCCCCAGGCATACTCAACCCATTCCCTCCCCGTCCACCTTCCACACATATGCGTTATGGATGCTGCTCTCCTCCCCCCACTGTCTGTCCAGAAGATGCTCTGCCCTCTCGGGCACACCTGTTTTCTCTTGAGTTTTTTTTGCGATCCGACTGTTTTCGGTGTGTCAAGATGGTGCTCACGCTGCAGCGTGGGCCTCGTTTTCGGATCGGCGCTTAGCTCCCGTCGTTCAGAATGGCGCTTTCGCCCCAGCCTGGGCCACTTTTCTGGATTCGATTCCTTCCTCATTGTTGTCGCCTCCCTCCTTTCCCTTCATCCGCCTTCCCCTGGACTTTCTGCTCCTCCCGCTCCTTCTACTCCAGTTCCCTTTGCTGCTGTTCGTCCTCGTCCTCGTCCTCCTTCCAACACTTCCTCTTTTCTCACTCTTTTCCTCCTGCTCAGCTCCTCCGCCTTCCCCTAGTTCTCCTGCTCCTCCCGCTCCTTCCACTCCAGTTCCTGCTGCTGCTGTTCGTCCTCGTCCTCCTCCTTCCTTATCCTCCACCTCCTCCTTTTCCTCCTGCTCATTCTCCTGCTCACCCGCCACCTCCCCATCCTATGTGCGGAACTCCCCTTCTCCGACTGCATGCGGCGCTGGGTTTTGGAGTTCCAGGTCGGGTGTGACACGCGTGCGCGGATGAGGAGCACATCAGCGCAATGGGAAGGGATGGGAGGAGGGAACGGCTGTCAGATATGGCGCGAGCGCACCTAGCTTGCCCCAACCCCTCCCCCCTTCCCCCTTCCCCTGCCCCCTGCCCCCTGCCCCCGCCCCCCTCCCCGCCTCCCCCTTCTCCCCCTTCCCCCCCTTCCCCCTTCCCCTTCCCCTTTCTTCTACAATTACACAGTATGAAAATACTCTCCCACTTCCCCTGATGGCGTCCCGAAGATGGCCGACCCCCCCCCGCGTACTGTTTTTTTACACAGGATTCCCGGGAAACGGGTTTTCGCATGCGTTTTTTTCAAAATGCGGCTCTCGCTGAGGCGCTGGCCTCATTTCCGCTCCCGAATCGTTCCGAATCGTGCTCCCGCTGCAGCGTGGGCCTCATTTTCGGATCGGTGTTTGGCCTCCGTCGTTCAGGATGGCGTTCTCGCCCCAGCGCGGGCCTCTTTCTCGCGCGCCCATCCGCCCGCCACCACCGCGCCGCACCACCACCACCACCACCACCACCACCACCACCACCACCACCACCACCACACCACACCACCACACCACACCACCAGCACCACCACCGCACAGCACCACCACACCACCATCACCACACCAGCACCACACACCACCACCACCACCACCACCACCACCACCACCACCACCACCACCACCCACCACCACCACCACACCCGCACACACGCACGCACGCACGCACGCGCACCACCACCCACTACGCACGCGCGCGCGGAGCCACAGGTCCGCTACGACACGCGTCCGCGGATAGAGAAAATCAGCGCCATGGTAAGGGATGGGAGGGAGGGGTAGGACGTCAGATATGACGCGAGCGCACCTAGCTTGCCCCCTCCCCCTCCCCCTCCCCCCTCCCCCTACCAAGCAAGCAAGCCCCAGGGCGGGGTCCGCTGCGGATGGCAGGAGTGGGCTGGGCTGATGGATCGGGAGACGCCCCCCCCCCCCAGGCCAAGATCCCGAAGCCGAAAACGCCTCAGGAGATCGAAAAGGAGACAAAGGACATGGCAGTGTGAAATGCAGTCGATTGAATGCTTCAACAGTCCGCCGAGTCAACAAGGAGAGGTGCGGGGATAATGAAGAACGGGGGAAGTAGTGGAGAGAAGATGGGAGCACCTTTCTTTTTGACCTTCGCTTCGCGGGGCCGAGCTGACTTGGCCAGCAATCGACCGTCGGGCCAATGCCCAAAACGTTGCCGATGCAAATGCGGCTCCACCAAAACCTTCCCCCAGAGGGTAAAGGAGGGATGAGGAGGAGAAGGAGGAGGAGGAGGAGGAGGAGGAGGAGGATGAGGAGAGGAGGCGGAGGCGGAGGCGGAGGTGGAGGAGGTCCCCTGACTTCAAAGGGTGCGCCAACTCCTGTCGAAGCTGGCGCAAGGCTCTAAACTGGAAAAACTCTCCCAGTATAATGCCTTTCCCACGTCTGTAATTGGGAGACTGGCCTTTCAATGCTCTGTTCCAGTTGGTCTGAGCTCTCTGGGAATCACGTGCGGGAAAGCACCTGGATTCCAGGCCTACGGCGCGGGCTCCTTCGGAGCAACAGCCGCAGGAACTGCATCTAATCAGGATCCCCTGTGGGGGCTCTGTACCATACACAGAGTGAGTCAGCTGATTGTGAAACAATGCCCGGATAATAGGAGAAGCACCAGCGCAACCCTCAAGGAGGAAGAGGAGGAGGCGGAGCAGGAGGAGGAGCAGGAGGAGAAGGAGAAGGAGGAGCAGCAGGAGGATGAGGAGGAGGGGGGGGGGGCGAATGGGCCGAGACGCTGGAAGGGCTCAACCCTTGATCTGGTGCTTCTCTTTTGGCAGTGCAGGCAGGTCCAATAGCGACCCTCTTTTCTCCACCGCCATTCGTGTAGCTGCTCCACCGCCTGCGGGGCCACTGGTATTTCGGGAGGGTGAGGGAGTCTCGCCTGTCCTGCCTGACGAACGAGATGCTCAGGGGCATGTGGCCCGAGCACGTCCACGAGGTAGCCTCCACTCCCTTGAATTCGCGCCTGCCTCCCTCGGGCCAGCTTCCCCTTAGGGGGTCAAGGCCGAAGGGAAAGTACACGAGGTACATACTGCAAAACACGACATCAGTGCTTTACCATGATCTCCCCATATCTCTACCATCATATAAGAGCGCACCTGCTTTCGCAGCTGCGTCAGCTTCGTGATTGCCTTTGGCCTGAAGCCACTCGGGAAAGAGATGCGGTAATGAATCAGGGTCTACATGCGCCTTCACCTTCGGGATAATAACTTTTTCGATCGAGGTTCGAATGCTTGGATTTGGTATGCATCTCAGCTACTCCCGCATAGTCCGAATTGTCTATCTTAGCATTGGTGAGGTGGGTGGTGACAGCCAGTGGTGAAACATGCTCACCCGCCGGGGATGTTTGTGGAAGCTGAGCTCCAACCCGCCCGAAAATGCGGCCTGGCAGATCGCCATCTCGGGTGATTTTGGATATTCCCCAGCCTGCCCTGTGATACTGCTTCGCTCCCTCTTTGAAGCACGATCCATCAATGAAGACTTCATCGTGGAAGACGTCCTGAATCCCATCCGCAGTGCGAGTCCACACCTCAGAATCTTCATGTCCGAGCCCCGGCGGAGCGACAAAAGGAGAAGCGGGGAAACAGCGAAACCATAACAGCAAGTGTTGCTTGAAGTCCCGGTGTAACAAGACATCCCGCGTATTTTGCGAGATCAAGTCCTTCCTCAACTCCTCCGTGCACCTGCACTCACATAGCCTGTGATGTACGCTATCCGAACCAGCCCCGCACATAGGGCAAGTCAGATCTACATTATACCCCATGTAGTACTGCCAGCTTCGGCTCCAGAGCGTCTGGCACAGGAAACCAAACTCTTCCAGAGCGCCCGATTGTGAATGCAAAGATATGATAAGAACAAATTATCGTGCGACATCTGGCTCGATTCTGTCACCTGGGAGTTTCAGATTACAAGCGGAGAGCGCCGTTCCGTTGTCTAATCCCTCCATTGCTTCTGCATTAGAGACTGGACCATGCACGGGGACGTGTCCGTCAAGCTGTATGTCTTCCCTTCCGCAGTGACGCACTTGAACGGGCCGCCAAAAGCACAGCCAATTCGGTGCAGAGACAGATGCGCTGCACCCACAGTGCCTCGAACCGAGAACCACTCTTGAGGCAAGTGCTGGAGCACGGGCTGCGCTGATCTGGACAAGTCGGTTAATGAAATAGTTGACGCTTCGCGAATCCCCACCAGCCCATCCAGAAACGATGCCCAGAGGAATTGCCTCGATCAGGGAAGTGGGCAGCACACAGAGGAAGCCATTATGAGACATCTTGGGATATCTTGAGCCATCTTGGAGGTCATTTTGGGCTCTCCCAGGCGCTCTCGGAGTCATCTTAATCAGTGCCCCCCCCCCCAAGAGGCCAACATGTGGCTAAAACCTTCGTAAAATCAATGATTTTGCATTCTCGCCGAGGCCTCTTGGAGCATCTTGGGTGCCTCTGGGTGGTCTCTTGGGGCCTCTTGGGGGTCTCTTGGGGGCCTCGTGGGGGCCTCTTGGGGGCCTCTTGGGGCCTTCTTTGGACCTCTGGGGCCACCCTGGGCGCTTCTAGAGGCCATCTTGGAGGAGATCGATCAAACAAGAGGGGAGCTTCAATTAGGCCCCCCCCCTCAGGAGGCCAAAATGGGGCCAACACCCTAGTAAAACCAATGATTTTCGCTTCCTCGCCGAGGCCGTTTTGGACGCCCTGACACCTCGCGAGCACCCCCGTCCAGGTCAAGGGGAGGGGGTAGGGGGAGGGGTCAAGAGTCCCCCTCCCCGCCCGCAAGCCGTCTCGCTCACTCCCACCCGCCCTCCCAACACATCCGCCGCCGCCGCCGCCCCCGCCGCCGCCGCCGCCCCCGCCGCCGCCGCCGCGGCCGCCGCCGCAGCCGCCGCAGCCGCCGCCACCGCCGCCGCAGCCGCCGCAGCCGCCGCCGCCGCCAAGTGCACTCTGTATTGTTTTTTGACAGGGATGGTGGGGGGGGGCCGCATCGGGTTGGCTGCGCATGTTCCTAATTTGGAGGTAGAGTGTGTTTTGTATGGTTTTTTACAAGGGATGGTGGGGGGGTGTCGGCATGGACCCTGGTTGGCCCCCAGTCGCCTGGGGGAGGGGGTGTATATTAATTCTCTTGCACAGGGTGTCTAGAGCTCCGACCACTTTATTTCGGCGTCGTCGCCCCCCCCCCCTCCCCAGCTGCCCAGTGCTGGTGCTGGTGCTGGTGCTGGTGCTGGTGCCGCTGCTGGTGCTGCTGGTGCTGCTGGTGCTGTGCTGCTGGTGCTGGTGCTGGGCTGGTGCTGGTGCCGCTGCTGGTGCTGGTGCTGCTGCTGTGCTGCTGGTGCTGCTGCTGGTGCTGCTGGTGGTGCTGGTGCTGTTGCTGCTGGTGGTGCTGCTGCTGGTGCTGGTGCTGCTGCTGCTGGTGCTACGGCTGCTGTTGCTGCTGTTGCTGGTGCTGTGCTGGTGGTGATGCTTCGGCGTCGCACCGCCCCCTCCGCCCCGACCACTTTATTTCGGCGTCGTCGCCCCCCCCCTCCCCCCCAGCTGCCCAGTGCCCTTCGGCGTCGCACCGCCCCCTCCGCCCCGACCACTTTATTTCGGCGTCGTCGCCCCCCCACCCCCCCCTCCGTAGCTGCCCAGTGCCCTTCGGCGTCGCGCCGCCCCCTCCGCCCCGACCACTTTATTTCGGCGTCGTCGCCCCCCCCCCTCCCTCCCCAGCTGCCCAGTGCCCTTCGGCGTCGCACCGCCCCCTCCGCCCCGACCACTTTATTTCGGCGTCCCCGACCACTTTAGCTGCCCAGTTCGGCGTCGGCGTCGCACCGCCCCCTCCGCCCCGACCATTTTATTTCGGCGTGTCGCCCACCCCCCCCAGCTGCCCAGTTTCGGCGTCGCACCGCCCCCTTCGGCGGTCGCCCCCCCCCTCTCCCCAGCGGCCCGGTGCCCGTGGCGTCGCACCGCCCCCTCCGCCCCGACTTTATTTCGGCGTCGTCGCCCCCCCCCCCCAGCTGCCCAGTGCCCTTCGGCGTCGCGGCGTCGCACCGCCCCCACCGCCCCGACCACTTTATTTCGGCGTCGTCGCCCCCCCCCCCCGGATGCCCAGTGCCCTTCGTCGTCGCACCGCCCCCTCCGCCCCGACCACTTTATTTCGGCGTCGTCGCCCCCCCCTCCCTCCCCAGCTGCCCAGCGCCCTTCGGCGTCGCACCGCCCCCTCCGCTCCGACCACTTTATTTCGGCGTCGTCGCCCCCCCCCTCCCCAGCTGCCCAGTGCCCTTCGGCGTCGCACCGCCCCCTCCGCCCCGACCACTTTATTTCGGCGTCGTCGCCCCCCCCCCTCTCCCCAGCTGCCCAGTGCCCTTCGGCGTCGCACCGCCCCCTCCGCCCCGACCACTTTATTTCGGCGTCGTCGCCCCCCCCCATCCCCAGCTGCCCAGTGCCCCTCGGCGTCGTCGCACCGCCCCCTCCGCCCCGACCACTTTATTTCGGCGTCGTCGTCGCCCCCCCCCCGCTTCCCCAGCAGCCCAGCGCGCCGCCCTCTCCGCCCCGACCACTTTATTCTCTTGCACAGGGTGTCTAGAGCTCCGACCACTTTATTTCGGCGTCGTCGTCGCTCCCCCCCAGCTGCCTTGTGCCCTTCATGTGTCGCTATATGTGTCGCTGTGTGCCTTGTGCCCTTCATGTGCCGCTATATGTGTCGCTGTGTGTCGCTATGCGTCTCCATGTGTGCGTCGCTATGTGTCGCTGTGTGTCGCTATGCGTCGATATGTGTGTGTGTCGATATATGTCTCTATATGTCGATATGTGTCGACATGTGTCGCTATGTGTCGCTCCCCAGCACCCCAGCGCACCGCCCCCTCCGCCCCGACGACTTTATTTCGGCGTCGTCGTCGCCCCCCCCCCTCTCCCTCTCCTCAGCAGCCCAGCGCGCTGCCCCCTCCGCCCCGACCACTTTATTTCGGCGTTGTGTCGACATGTGTCGCTATGTGTCGCTCCCCAGC